CGTTGGGCGACTCACCCCTTAAACATAAGTCGGGTTCGCAGAACGCAACATTTCCCCCAAATCCCCAAAACTCCCAAACCCTCTGCAGCTCCCCCTACTCCGGCGAAGTGCGGCGACACATCTCCCCCTGACTCCGGTGAAGGTTAATTTCCGGCGAGCGACGACAAGGCCTCCATATCTTGTCAATACTACTTTCCTTTCATCTTCTTCAACACTCTAGGTAAACAAATATCTCCAATTTATCTCATTTTTAATTTTAAGGTTTAGAATATAGAAAATTGGAATTTGTGAATTAGGAATTCATTTGTGAATTGATTTGTTGTGTAATGTGAATATGTATGAAGTGTTGTATGTTGATGTTGAATTCATTGTTATATAATTTTTTTTGAACTTTGTTATGTAATGTAGATTTGGAGGTATGAATTGAAGTTTGTTAAATTTTTGAACTTTATTAATGCTAAAAAATTTAAGGTGAGATAACAAAGAAATCTTCATTTAAATCCACGCGTATTAACGAATTAAGAGTGGAAATGATAATTTAAACTTTATTAATGCTAAAAAAATTAAGGTGCGATGAGTTCTTCGAGTGCTTAGTCCTGGTCGATGGATGCAACAAGGCGAATTAAGAGGTGTGACTGTGGACTCCAAGCACCAGTGTGGACTGCTACAACAGAAAAAAACAGGGGGAAAAGATTTTATGGGTGTGGTCGTTTCTTGAGTGGTCAAAAGTGCAATTTCTTTGAATGGGTTGAGGATGAACAATGTGGCACTTGCCTGAGACGAATAGAGACCTTGCTTCAGAAGATTACCAGTGTTGAAGAGAATTTCTGAATGAAAGAATTAGAGATGCAAGCTGAAATCAAGTGTTGTGTTCGTGGAATTGGTCATTTGAAAGTCCAAAATATGGAAGAGGAACTGAAGATGTCAAAGAAAGGCAATGGGACTTTCTCCTGGAATGTAGTGTGGTTCGGGTTGTTTGTTATCGTCTTGTTGGGAAGTAGGATATATTAGCAGATGTTGTAATGTTGTAATGAAATGTTTGTTCGGGTTGGTTGTATTGTTGTAATGAAGATTATGAATTTGGTTTTCAAGCTTATGGTCTTTTTGAAGCATAACACCTGTATTGAAATGTAGACTTAAATTTTGGTATTTTGATATTGAAATGTGAGTTGAAAATTCTTTTTTTTTTAAATTAATAAAATGGATGATTAAAAAAAGAATTAGTATAATATTAAAAATTAACTAATACGATTTTAATTGTTAGTAGGCATGGATGTGACAGCGGATCCTGGGCCGAGTGATCGTTCTGTCCTAACATTGCAGGCCTCGCACAAGAGTGAGGATGTGTGGCTTGGCCTCGATGTTCAGGTGGATAGGTGCCGCGAGCACCAATGCGGTTTGTCGCATATGCATGTGGACGACAGAGTACTTGCATATGTTCGTGCTGCGGGTTTTTATGGTCTCCACAGATTGGTGGTTACTGTCCCTCTCGATAGAGCGCTACTCACTGCTCTTCTTGAGCGTTGGAGACAGGAGACACACACATTTCACCTCCCTGTTGGTGAGGTGACAGTGACCTTGGGAGATGCTGCTGTACTTACTGGGCTACAGGTTCATGGGAGAGCTGTTACAAGCACTGCTTGTCGACAGTGGGTAGATGAGTGTGACATTGTTGAGTATACTGACATATGGCGAGCACGTGTGCCGTTGATATGTTTTGACATTGTTGAGTTTCATTTGCCTGATCGAGTCTTGCGACAGTTTGGGTTTGAGCAGGTCATTCCACGGCCTATCGACACTTATGTAGAGCTTCATAGGCTGGATAGGCGTGGGAAGCATTCGGAGGATTGGGCACTCAGACATGTCCGATACGTCACTATGTGGGACAGGCGAGCTGAGCTAGTTGTGACTGGGACACCGACATTTGTCCCATCTGTTTCAGGAGACTACATAGGATGGTATTACAACATCACTCGTTTGTTTGTGTCTCCTTTATTCAGACTCCCTACTCATCATTATCAGCCTAGCTCATTGGCTTTGCATCTTACGGTGAGTATATTACTAATTAGTAAAGTAAGTCATTTTATTTATTGAATACTTGTATGTATTTCAATGTAATTGTAATTGTGTTTCATATTTCAGACACGAGCTTTGCAGCGTATACATCAACGGGCTACTGCCACAGTGAGTGATACTCATGATGTGGACATGTATGGACAGACTCTGACAGGCGTTGCCTCCTTGTGTTCAGATGTGTTGGGGCGAGTCGACTACGGCCATCTTATACACATGCCCCCATCTCAGGAGATGGCATCGACGTCTAGTGCAGCGGCGGCTTCATCATCCCAGACGCAGCATGAGAGAGTGGTTCTTCAACCACGACCACAGCGTAGGCGTAGACATCAACAACAACATCTCCATGACCAAGATGATCAAGATGACCATGAGAATTTGTAGTTTGCTTTTTGTATTGCAGTATGTTGTAGGAACAATTTACAACATTTTACGTATGTTCTCTTCTAAAACTCCTATTATTTAAATAACTCCTATTATTTAAATATTCAAAAACCAATTCGGAAAAAAACTCCTATTATTTAAATATTCTTATTAGATTATTGTATTATTATATTATAAAGATCTAAAGGGAAAGTCGCCCAACGGTTGGGCGACTTTCCCTGACCACGGTTAAACCCAGCACTAGATCCGTAAATACTTTTAACCCAACATTATTTTCATAATTAATTAATTAATTAGCATTAATTCGAAAAAAACTCAAGGATTAGGCATCGATTTTCTGATTTATAACCTGGTTTTCAATCTTTTCCGGACCTAACCCGTATTGGGCCAAGCAGACTACCTGTCCCGTTTCTGGCATAATAAATGTCAATCCTCTGATAATTAACTTAATTTTTAATAATTAAAATTTAAATTTACATATTCAGAAACTACATTAAAATATCTTCAAAGTTGCAAACTCCAAATTAGAATATAATTAAAAATTGACATCCTAATTAAGCAAATAAAATGAAGTTGTTTGATTAAAAAGGTCGAATTTGTAAATAAATTTAGAACCCGCACGGGTAGCTCAGTTGGTCGAGTGGTGGAAGATTTGGATCAATGGACCAGGTAGAGATCACAGAACCTGAAATAAGACTAGACTTCTGATGCGCAAGGTTGAACCTACTATCATTTTGGATGAATCGTAAATCAATTTTGAACGGAGGTGGTACAAGTTAAACACAAGATGACAGGTTTGACAATGATGGTATCATAATGCAGCCGTGCCGTCCAGGTTGCCTAGGCGGCTAGTCTACTGACTACACAACAAATGCCCTTTCCTTGAAAGAAGAACGATTCAAAAAATCTTGAGATGACCCCATTTTGACCGCAAAACTACACCCTAAATGCAATTATTTCATCAACCTTACATGTGATAAAAGGGGCCACAGCCCGTGCAAAGTTATACGATCCATGTCACAGCCATTATATTATAAGGAGCAGATGCATCTTTCACCTTTCTCTTGTCACTTTGAGCTTTAAATACAACCTACCTCCCCTCAAACAATGCACATGGTACAATTCCTCATCTCTTCCTAACTATCTTTGCCTATCATCCAACTCACACTAGATTGTGGAAATGCATAACCCTACCATCTAATCATTGATAACAAAGTCTACCAGGTAGCCCAGTTGATTGACTGAAGAAAAAGTTGGAGGAATGCGTAAAGATCAAAACTCGTAGCGTTCGTGTGGAAGATACAACTCTTGAATGATGAGCTGAATTTCCGGTGCGCAAGAGTATAAGATTTACCACTGTTGGACGCTTGGTAGTTTCCACGCCTCTCCAAGGTTGAGCCAGCCCCAAGATGGGGAGATGTAAGAAAAATTACCAGCTTGACGCACTAGAACGCCTGATGACGATCCTTAACTGAGTCACCATGATTTACAACCTCCAACTATCCTGTCGGGTCAGGCATGAAGCCCTCAAGATTGGAGATTCAACCTTTTAAAAGAATTGATAACAGAATGCAACAAAACAAAATCCACCACTAGGGTTGTTAACGAACCGAGCTTATATTGAACTATTTGAGTTTGAACTCAGTTTCGAACCTAACGAGCGGAGCTTAACGAGCTTTCGAACTCAAACCCGAGTTGAGTTTTAAGTTCGAAAAATTAGTCAAGCTGAGCTTGAACATAGTAGTATTCGGCTTGGTTCGAACTCGAGTCTATCGAACATCCTGAAATTATAAATACAATTTATATATGTCAAAATTTAAATATAAATATTATGATTTTATGAATTTAAATCTGATTATTAACGAACCGAATACTTGTCGAATCATTCGAGCACGAGCATATTAATTAGCGTCACCTAAAATTTTAAATTCGATCATATTTATCGAGCGCTTGGTTCAAACAACGAACACCTGTCAAGCCGAACACGAGCCTTATTTGTAAAGCTCGTTGAGCTTCAAGCTCGAACCCGAACATCACTAATTCCTTATCGAACTGAACTTGAGCTTTGGGTGCTCGGGTTCGGCTCGGCTCGTTAACAGCCCTGTCCACCACCTATCTATCGGTCTAAGATTAAAGTCGAATTTATCTCTTCTCACACACTTTCGAAGTGACTCAAGGATGGAGTATCATAAGAACCTATACCATTTCTCATGCCAGATTAATCTTACAGAATAGAGCTGGCAAGGCTTAACATGAAAATATGAAATTAGAACCCACTACACTTAAATGAGCAACTGAGCAAGCCGATGTAACCAACTGAAATTAAAAAAGAACACATATATTTTGAACTATTGAAGCCAATGAATCATAATCATTTGAGACTTGTTAAACCATCATTTAAAAGTGATCTTCTAGAATGAAACTTCAAGATCATTGTATTATTGTATATATATTTACACACTTGAACACTAAGAAGAATATGGGTGGTAACTACTAATAACTTTATAGGTACCCCCAAGACACAAAGCCATTAAAGAAGATTTCAAAGCAAACCTCATAACCATATTTAATCCTATCAAAATTTCATCAATTCAAATTAACACCATGAAACTTAGACATAGCAAAGGATCAAACCATGAACACTCCTCCTATGTTAGGAACTTCTGTTCTATTCATGAAAAAAACACAACTAAGTTTATAATTCTCCTAAACAGTTTATATAACAGAAACGAAATGAACTATGAATCATCACTAACCATCTAGGCCCATTACAACAATCCTAAAGCCTTACTTGAGCTGACTGAACTTTTCGGAAGAAAAAAGAAAAAAAAAAGCTGCATAAGATGCTGTAAACTACTCACCACTAAGCTACCCTATATTATCCACATGCTTCATCTCCACCCTCTGCCGCCTCATCTCCAAGACTTTACGGTGAGAATTGGAATGCACTGCTGGCGAAAAGGTAGGGCTATTAGCAGGGCGATACTCCGGAAGGAGTCTACCAGACTTATACCGCACCCCACATGCATTACATAAGGTCTTTGGGCCCATAGGTCCAGCTCGCCATTGTGGAGTCTTATCAACTCCGCAGTGCTGACACCGCCTCCCAATAGTAGACTCTTTCACCGTTCTTATGGGAAGCATTTGGAATGACGATGATGATGGGCCGTGCTTAGTTTTCCAGTTTTTCGCCCATAGGCAATTCTTGGCAGGCAAGTCACCAAATCCTGCTGTTCGGGGTTTTCTCATATTCTTGCTCCGTTGACGCATAGGATAAGTGATTGGCACTTGTAAGCTAGCATTGCAACTAATAATCATACCGTTCTGAGTGCTAATTCCGGTTCTATTGCTATTATTATTACTACTGTTGCTATTCTCCAAAACAGATACTGGGCTCTTCTGTTGAAATAACGGGTTATCCACAAAAATACCAAAACATGTTTCAACACCTGGGAATGCATCCTTGTTTGATATCCACTCAAGTTCTTCCTCCATATCTTCCTGGACAAATCAAGAAAATCGCACCACTCATTCAGTAAAAAAAAAGAGCAAACTCATCATTTTGAATCTTATAGTATGAAGCAAGCAAGTAGTCTGTTTCACTTGAATCCCACTAAAGAATCTTCTTTTTTCACCATCATAGGAACATTTCTAAATTCTTCCACAAAACATTTAAGGAAATTAATTACCGTAGAAAGTTGGAAACTAACTTATAATCTTACTCCCTCCGTCCCGAATTGAATTGCAAACTTTGACCGCCACAAAGATTAAGGAATGACAATAAATGATGCTTGCTTTTTACACTTTTGACCATCTTTCCAAAAGTTAATAGAGAAAAAGTAAAAGTAAGGGTAAATTTGTCACTTTATTCTTATTTACATACCTAAAATAGAAAGTGGAAAACCATTTTGAGACAACCAAAAGAGGAAAATTTGCAAATCAAATTGGGACGGAGGGAGTACATACTACTTCCTCCGCTCTTAAACAAGTGCAACGGTCAACGTTTCACATTTTCCGCGGCACAACTTTGATCATTAATATATACGTAGTATAATTCTCTATTAGTTAATAACTTAAGAAAATTAGATTTTGAAGATTACAATGAGACAAATTTAACATGTGAATAGTGTAAGATTCGACATGTTGCACTTATTTAAGAACGGAAGTAGTACGTAATAAATATTCTGCTTCGTCCTGATTTAAAGTTCCAATTTTTACTTTCAGAGTCAAAGTTTGTACACTTAAACCATAATGATGCTTGAATGCTACTGAACCATAAAATTAAATTGAAATATTAATTTGTAAAAGGCTTTGTCAAAATAAAATTTTAAATAATAATTGCAAAAAAAATCTTATCAAACACAGCAAAAGTCAAAAGGGCGGATTTGTAGAGGGAGGCAATGATATTCTAACTTTCCAAGTATAGATATAGCTAGAGGTAGTAAATTCAAAATGGGATTGAGCAAATCTGGAATCTAATTCACATTTTGGAATAAAATTTCGAGTACGAATATTCGAAACGGGAATTATTGCAAATTTGGACAAACAAGTCTAGAAGTCATATGATATCTCGTAGGGGCAGAAGCGTCTTTTCCCCAAATAAAACGCGCCTCACGTGATGCGAGCGCGTAGCGGATTACGGGCATTTATTTTTACAGCTCATTTTGCGTCGTGATAACCGACGCATTTACGGAATCGTGTCCGAATCTCGAAAATGCCCCAAATTTTCAGTTTTATGCCGTTCTTCCAAAACTGCCCTCCACGATTTTTAATTAATCGGTTTATTTTCACGATTAGGACAGTTACATAGGGAGGAAATCGGGGAAAACAAGAAAATTGTGGTCAAATGGGAAATTAATGACGTTTGACGACTGCTCAATGTTTATTTACGGAAATGCCATTGACGCGGAAAAGTTAACAGCAGCCACTTCTGACTCGGCCGCCGCCGCCGCGAACCGGTCAAACTCTCCCGAGTTAACGCAACGCAGGGACGAGTCAAGGAAACCGATAAGGATTAATCGAAAGCGGGACTTACAGGGAAGTCGTCGGGACTAACGGGTTTCGATGATTCCAAGGAAGAAGAATGGCCAATTGCGGCGGCGGAGGCCTGGTTCGTTTCTTTCTCTTCCGCTTCGTCGTCCAGGGAGAAGTTGAAAAGGTCGTCGTCGTCGACGAGGAAGCACGACGTCGGGTCCAGAGCCTCCATTTTCATTTTGGGCAGGGGAGAAGGGTTTGGTCTGGGTTCGGTCTAAAGAGAGAGGAGGAAAAAAGGGTGCAGAGAGGTTTTTGTTTCCTCTTTTTCTTTAAGGAGAGGAGAGAAATCAGGCTGGGATGGCGTAGAGTAATTATTATTAGTATTTGCTCCGTATCAATCAAAATGACAAAATGGCCAGGACGGCAACAAGGCCGACTATTTTATTTTTATTTTACATAAATCTTATACCAAAATAAATTAATTAATGTTTAGAAAAACAACTAAACACGGTAGGCCTCTTTATTTTGATTTATTAAATTCATGGGTTGCGTTTTGAATCAGGACCGAATAATGGATTGGATGGAAGTACTAATTCGGTTCATTTTTTTTAACCTAAACTCGGAAATTCAGTGTTAATTTAGTCCACTCGTTCATTAGGCAGTTAAAAACGCTGAGTTGGCAATTATTAAGCTTTAGTTTGGTATAGCGTGGATTCCTAGTCAACATCGTCTTTGTCCCATTTATATCGAACCCTAGACTATCAAATGTGCACATATTTTCAGAGAAAAGCTCCGATCTTCTCTTTTCTTCTAGCCGTTACTCTCCTCTACTCTGGCGACTTCTCCTCGAGTGGGTTTTCATTCGCGGTGAGTAGGGTTTTTCTTGTTAATGAGATAACGAAACCCTATTTTTCATTTTTATTCCGTATGTGAATCAGGTTTTTGGAACATGAGACATGGCTTATGGAAATTGCGGATGCGGGATTCCTTTAAATATGATGACATCATGGACAAATGACAATCCAGGGAGATGATTCATTGCGTGCTCGAGAGTAAGGGTATTGAATGATTATAATTTCTAATTGTAGTGAATCTTGATTCTTCTTCGCGTAATTTTATTATTAAAAATAAGGTAAAGGTGGTTGCTGCAACATGTTTGAATGGGTTCATCCACAAATGTGTGCAAGGTCTATGGTGATTATACCATGCTTTTGAGGAAAATAAACAAATTGAAAGGTCTGGTTGATGAGGCAAAGCCAGTGCAGAAAAGACACAAGATGTGGAGTTTGTTATGGTGTATCATAGGAGGAACTATGCTATTACTGCTATTGGTGATTTTTTTTGGCAATGAAAAGAAGAAGGCCTTAGAATGGAAAACTTGTGAGGCTCCCATGATGTAATCCTTGTAGGGGTATTTTAGTTATTGTAATCATTTGTTGTATTTTGTAATCCTGTAAGGGTAGCTCTTATGGTCATTGTTATTTTGAATGAAATTGAAGTTTTGAGTTGGACAATCATTAAGTTTTATTGTTTGTCGGTTGGTAGTTATAGTTGAAGTTGGTAATTGTAGTGATGAATTGTTGTTCTGTAACACTGTTAGATTTATGAAGAATTACTTATTGAAGTTTATTTTCCTTAAGATTTGAGTTGATGATTATCATAGTTGCTATTATATTGTTGTTATTCAAGTTTGTTTACATTAATGTGTACACTACTTGTTCTGTCAACAAGCTTTTCTGCTTAAACCTTTGTTGTTTCTCCTTAAAGCTATAACAAGCTTTCAAAACTGCAAAAGTTATATGTATGCTACTGCATTTGCTATTTGGAGATGAGTTGTAATCATAGCACAAACAATATCAAAGCCTTTTGAGTGGTCTTCCTTCTGTTGAGTTATCTACTCACTGTATGGGTCACTTGAAATAAGACATGTATTCATAGCACAACGGCAAAGATGTATTCATTTTTCCTTTCAAACCAAGAACTATAATCATGCATGAACTCATACCACTCTGCCATCATCCTTACAATTTGACCCTATCAAATTCTCAACTGATATTTTAACCATATGAAGTTGTCAACTTAAATTTTACCCAATCAAATTGTCAACAGAAATTGTAACTCAAACCCTGAACCAAAACAAACATGACCGGAAACCATTATCTGCCATCATCCTCCACGTTTGAATTGATACAAGTGACCTCAAACCATGATATGAAAATGTGGAACGGAACTTGAATACATAAATGTGAAAATTGAAGTGGAATACATCTACATGATACCATAAATTGAAAATTGACATCAAACCATGATCTGATCTTTCATAGCACATACATCTTGGATTGAACATCAATACCTAAATGTTTCATAATGGTTTGAATCTTCATACACTATGTAGAGACCATTAACTGCAACCATGACGGGCACACACCAGATGCATGGTACCAAACCCATAGGCCTAAACTTAACAAATGTACGTTACCACTAAGGTATGACCTAAATATGATATGCAAGTGTAAACCACCCAAAAAAACTTGCATTTCAACCATATAAGCCCATATACATCTAAGAAAAGATTAACATCCTACACACCACCAACGTATATGCAAAAAGACAGTAGGATATTCCCAAAACTATTAAAATGTTCGAAAAACTTATAAAATGTCTGAACAACTTATAAAATGTCTGAACAACTTATAAATAACAACACTAATGCCCATCATTCTCTTCCACGGAGTCAAACACGACATGGAACCTCTCTCTTGCAGTTGTGGGATCACCATGAACTTCCACCTCTTCAACACCTCTTTTTTTTGAATTTTCTAGCTTTTGCATTCCTTTCCTTCTCATTCCTTGCCTTTAGTCTTTGTACACATGAAAACCCCATCATTGTTGTGATTCATAGTAGAATTACATAAGTACAAACTTATATTTACTCATCCATTACCTCCAAACAACATGAAGTTATGGAATTCTGTCCTCTCCATTGAAATACACCTTCACTAGATGTGTCCTTTGTACTTTGCTTGTCAGTAAAGTAGGCTTCCAATGTACTTCCACCTGCATTAGATTCTTCAGGATGTCCATTGGCAGTGTTGGTTTCTTGACAATATGATACACATTAGCAACTTTAATTTCAAATAAGAACCAAAAAAAAGGACAAAACAAAAGATTTCATTGTGTTTTCCATATACATGATCTAAGTTAGTCTTCTTTGGGCACATGTTCTACTGTGGCCAGTTTGGGAGCATAATCCATATGATCTCATAGGTGGGTTTGAGGTTCCAACTTCCATGTCAGCAGGAAAAGTACTTATCTATTGCATAAATTACTCTTTGGATGGACACCCTTTCTTGTTATGGCCCTTTTTGAAGCAGAGCTGGCAAGCAATGGTTGTACCTCTCTTGGGTAACTTCTCAGTTCTAGGAAACTTGTAACACCGTCCCTAAGTATACTTACTTTTAGTAAATCATGTAATAAACCTTGAAGAACGATTTATGAATTTACGAGATTGTAAATTTTTATTAATTCTTTTGCGTGAATAGTAAATTGCACGCGGGGCCCACATCGGGAGCTGGGACCACATATTATATTCATCTTGGTCTAGATAATATGCATATGGTGGTGGATAATTTATTCGGGCCATGGAAAGGGCATAGGGCTGACCGGTCGGTCAAACAAGGCCCGATTACCGGTATTGGGGATTTATCGGATAACAGTCCGAAATGAATTTCAGAGACTTTCAAAATTAAGGTTGAGGAATGTGTATTCATTCTAAAAGCCCATAGGGGTTTAGAATGTGTGATATATTTTATTTAGCCCGATAGAATAAAATATAATTAAAATAGTCCGAGAAATACAACTTTCGGGGCCGATTGTACACTTCGGGACACAAAGGGGTGACCTCCCACATGAGTGGGGGCCACCCCACGTTTTTATGAGCTCAATTAGACAAGAAGGGCTGGATTTGACAAAGGAAGGAGTGGAGGAGAGTCATTTGGCATCTAAAGCACCAAAGAGGACCCCTCACCCTCATTTATTTGCCAATTAAGACAAAAGTACACATCTCCTCCCACCCTTACCTCCTTAGCTCGACCTAGACATCAAGGAAATAGGAAGAAGCTCTCAACCAAGCCTCCATAGCTGGAAAAATTCAAGCTCAACAATAGAGGTCCAAAGGGGAAGCTTAAAGAAGGAAAAAGTTAGGGAAAGTGTGAAGGATTAAGGTAATAACTTTTTTTTTATCCCGGAAGGCAAACCACCAAAATCAGTGGGGCAAAAGCCGGGAGTCAGTTGCCAGATTTTATTGATGTAACACTAAAAGAAACAAAGCGAGAGGGGGCCAAACCAAACCTCTCAAGAAGGCATTCCTTCTAAAACAATGCATAAAAAAATTACAAGATTATCAAAGAATTTAAGAATATCTAATATAGGCTAATTTTAATTTATCAGCTAAGATGGATTTCCTCACATGAATAGGAAGTTCAACAGATCGGAAAAAGGAAGTGAAATCCTCACCATCAATTCCGCATCTGGCCAAGAAGTGTGCGGACCAGTTTGCTTCTCTAAAAACATGTCTGAGATAAATTAGCCGTTGCTCCGACCACCGCTTCAAATCATCTACCATCTTACCCCATCGTCCTCCCGAACAGCCGTCCATAATCAAGGATATGACCTCCTGCGAGTCAGATTCAGCTTCAATTCCTTCATACCCAAGTTGAATAGCCCACGCTACTGAAGAATGGAGCGCAATAAGCTCCGCCTCAGTCGAACAGTTTGCCACCAGAGGGAAATGACAGCCTATCCGGAATTCCCCATTCTGAGATCTTAACAGCGCACCGCCCGCCGAGCCAACATGGGAAAATGAAGCATCAACATTAAGTTTGAACTGCAACCCAGGTAATTCCCAACGAACAATCTGAATTTTGGGCTTAATCTTTTGGAAAAATTTAGGAACCAGATGTTCTTCCACCAGCACCGGATGGATAACTTTGTTTATGGTTTTCAGTCTGGCCAGAAACCAAGCCTGACTAAAAGCCCTAATCTGTAATATCAATGATTGGTAAGAAATTTGACCTCCATCCCCCCAAACTAGAGAAGAGTAGGCCTTCCATATATGCCAAGCGATAATTCCGGGTAAATTCTGTTTGTAAATATCTCCCATGGTTCTGTTCCCTGCCTCCAACCACCAAGCCATGAAGACCTGCCTAATAGAGGCATGACCTTGTGGTATAGGAACACCAAAAATCCCCATAAAGTACTTCCAGATTTTTTGGGCAAATTGACAATGGATTAAGGTAATAACTTTATAATAACTTTTCCTTTGCTTTTTATCTATCATATGAAGGGTATAACATATGAAGAACCCCTAGGCTTGTTCTACATATTTAGAGATGTAGAATGAGGGAATGGAAGGAAGTTCTAAGTC